GAATGCATCTCCAAGTGCACCGTGAGTATAGTAAAAATCTCCAAAATCATTGTATCCCATTCTAATGCTTTCTTTTATCAAATTTGTCTGTAACAAAAAAGAATTAAGGTAAGATGAAAAATGAGAAATTGCATATTAGATATTAAAAAAAGGGTACACCATGAAGACAAGTCATGAATTGCCACCCCATCCAAAAATAGACTAAAAAAAATTAATAGTCTTTATTTCCACAAAAAAATGTTACCAAGAACCAAAATTTAAGATAGTATTGACATTCAGAAATTTATAGTAGAGAAGTTCTAGCAACACAGCCATTACAAATAAATTTGAACATGATGCAGTTTAGATTTAATAGCAAAGTGTGACCTATTTGTTGTTCAAATTCCAACATTTATTGGGGATTAGACGTGCACTTTGGATCAAATTGATCAAGTAGTGCACAGCCATGCCAAAGTTTTGGGCAAGTTGGGCAATAACAGGGTCTATGTTTGGCCAAGCTGAGCTGAAAACAAACTCATTGGTGGGAGAACAAACAGAACTTGAGCAAGGCTAACAATGTGCCAATCACCAAACTGAGTTTGAAGGGTGAGTGTTCACCTTTGACTCTGCTCATTTTCACAGCTATTGACTAATTGCCGTATCTCTTGGGAATGCCCAAGGCAAGCTTTCCTTCAACAATTCCCGATTGCCATATCTCTTGGGAACACCCAAGCCATCCCAAGTATCACAAAAAACAACTCCCGCAACTCCCTCACTACACCAAGAGTCAAAAGGTGAGTAAAAGATCCACCAGCTTGCTTGCATAAACAACACTAATCATCCATGAAGTGTTGTCTCTTAAACAAGTTATCAACAGTGAGAATCTTCTCATGAATTGCATTCCACACAAAGAAGGCCACATTAGGGGGTGTCCTATTGCTAAATCCCTTTCCAACTAAACACAACCACTCTCTTGTCTATCAAAAATAATCCCCATGGAAAAATATCACCTCGAACTGCTCCTTCTTAGACAAATCCCACCACAAACAAAATGGTACCTCTCTTCATGCCCTCACCACATATAAGAGCCATCTCATATTTTTTTCATTTAAAAATTTGCCCAACTTTCAACATAATTAAACTTTGGAGAGTAATAGAGACGCCTTTGTATAGACCCAACATCTATGAATCCATACATTTTGACCCACTTAACTATAAAATCATACAAATGGCCCCATTTTTTAGGGACGAAAGAGATGCATTTTTATAGCCGAGGGTTCAATAAGGAGTAAGTTAATATATGCTAATAGTTGAAGGAATATTAGTGTATTTAACCTTTTTCATTTTTTTTTTTTGGTTGCCATTTTGTGTAGTTGGTTTTCTAAAAAAGTCATGTCTCCTCCCCCTTAATGATCTTGTAGATTTTGTTGATTTTTGGGACTTGTAATAATCTATGTTTTCTTTTGCACATGTTTAGCTTCTTTATTTTGATGATTTTAAAGAAATTTGCTTTACTTATCAAAAAACAATTTCTTAACATCTACAAATACAAAACGAGCATTTCTAATCCTTGACTAAGACTGACATCAAACTTAAATTTGGGTTGAAACAAATACTCAAAACACCCTCCACTCATTACCCAAATTTATATCAAATTGAGCTTTACTAAGATTTTTACCCAAATCAAAGGAGACTCAAATGTTACTTAAGGCTATTTTGTGGGTCTCAAATTTACCACTTCCTGATTAGTAAAGTTTTTCTTATATACATATGCTTAAATTTAGTTTGCCCATTGGAGTCATTCATATCAAATAAAATTTTTACTCTCAAATATTTGCATAATTCAGACATTTTGAGAAGTAGTTAAATAAGGCAGAATCAATACAAACAACACTTAATTAAAGACAAATTGAAAAAAACAAACACAAAAATTAAAACATACCCGATAAGCATTGAGTTCAGTCTCGAGCTTCTCTTTCTTCTGCTCAGCCCTCCGCTCAACCGCCTCAATCCAAGCCGAATCATTTCCATAACTCTGCCCCAACCTCCCATCGATCTTCTGAACAACTTCTCGAAACAATTGTGTGTTCTCGCCTTTCTTAACTTCGTCGTAAGCCATTCGTAGAGCTTCCAACTGCATCGAAACGTTGTCGCATCGGTTGGCGATGAAGAGGAGCCGCGAAATCTTTGTTCGGCCGCTGTAGAGAGCGGCGTAGGCCTCGATGTCGAGTTGCTCGCCGTTGATGATTGGTCTGTGACGCCGGGAATCGTCACCGCCGTTGGAATATATCTCGTCGATCATCTGTGCCGAAGCTTCATTCTCGCCTTCCATGGTGGTGCACTCGAACGACGTCGTCGAGTTAGGGTTTTTGAGGCCTTGTGTTCTTCTTCCTCACAAGTGAAGTGACCCAATTCTGATAATTTTTTTTGCAATCAAAGAGAGAGGGGGGCGAGAGGGGGTTTACACGTGCGACAGTTTTAATGGGTTTGCACGTGCGATTAATAGGCTTAAGCATTACACACATTTATGGTTTAATTTTTTGAAATTATTTTTTGAAAAAATAAAAATTATTTTAATAAAAATAAATATAAAATTATATTTTTAAAATGTATATCCACCCTCTAGAAAGATAAAACGATTTAAAAATGAAAAGCGATTTTTATTTTTTAATTCTTTTTTATCAATTATTTTTAATTTTTTTAAAGAAAAAATGACAAATTTCAAAAATTAAACCAAACAAAAATGTGACAATTTTTTTGATTTTCAAAAAATTAATATAAATTACAATTTACTATTTTAACTATTACTAAATATCAACATTTAAGCTTAATTTGAGAAGACTAAATAAGTGTACTTTTTGACTTTTTATGAAATATGGGTTGAATTTGGGTTGGGTTTGAAGTGATGTGTTAGAGAGATGATGTGACTTAAATAAGATGATATAATTTAAATAGGATAGTGACTTTTTGACTTTTTATCTTTTTTCAATCATGTCAAACTTGGCCTTAAACTCCTTGACTATAAATTTTTTTTTTTTTCTTTTTTTTTCAGAATGAAATATACAGTTAACTTTTAAATATTACATTTGAACCCCTTTAATTATAAAAATTGTACAAGTACTTCCTTTCCGGATTAGTCAAAATAAAATATATATTTTTTTTATAATTAAGGGTTCCAAATGTAGAGTTTTAAAATTGAGAGTAATTAACCCAAAAATAAAACTAATTTCAAAATTAAATTTGAAAATTTTGAAAAAATAAAAATAAAAATATTTTTTCACTTGTCACCATCGCCCTCTTCCTCCGCTTGAAAACAAAGGGCTTGTTTGGTTGTTTTTGAGAGAGTTGTTTTTGAAAAAAAAATTAAGGAGAGAGTTTAAAAAAAAATTTAGTTTGTTTGGTTGTATATTTTGAAAGAGTTATTTTTTTGAGAGTCTGGGATGATTTGATATTTTGGAAGAATTTGAGTAGATGTGTGTGAAAGAAAAAGTGAAGGAGAGAGGAGAGAGAAAAAGTGATTGATTGATGTGTAAGAGAGAGAAAGTGATTTTAAAATTTTTTGAGAAAAACTCAAATCAAACAATTTTTTTAAATTTTTTTTCTACAACGTATCTCCCAAATACAAATCAAACATACCCAAAGTGTTCGTCCGCCATTCTCTTCCTTTGCCTCACCCCGTAGCAAACTATGTGATCACTCCTCTTCCCACAATTCACCAATTATTTTTGTTTTAAATTTTAATTATTTAAAAACACGTGTACTAACATTTTTTATTTTGTAAAATAACAAAATCATTTTTTTCCCTATATACACAAATAGAAAAATAATGCAAGCCCTGTTAGTTTTAGGGGGGGTTTATTGCTCGATCCACCCACACCAATTTCAATTTTCATTGCCATATGAAATTTAAAAAAATTCTAACGGGTCAATTTTGAATCCTATGAAAAAAATGACGGCAGTACATGCACTAATTAGTGTGTGCACTAGTTTATCAATTAGTGTTATGATATTATTATTGACCACATTTATTATATAAGTTATAAATATCTAAAACCATACAAATGATATCACATCATCTGTTAGTACACTAATGTGTATATTAATTGGTACATATAGCATTATTCTAATAATAAAGGGCAAATTACACTAACAGTCCCTATAGTTTGGGACTCGTGTCATTTTGATCCCGACTTTTCAATTATGACACATTTAATCTTGAGTTTTGAATTTTGTTCTAAATAAGAACAATTGAAGATACCGTTATTTAATTTCAAGGACAAAATCGCCATTTTAATAAAATATAAACTAATTTGACAAAAATAAATGTCAAAAAAATATTTTTAATTTTTTTTAAAATTATTTTTATCCACCAATGATAAAATTATGTAAAATTGATAAAAATTACATGATTAATTTTTATAAATTAATTTTACATGATCATTATCAAAACACATAATAAAAATTAATTTAGTAAAAAAATAAAAATTAATGTCTAAAAGATTTATCAATTTTACATAATTTTATTTTTAGTGGTTAGAAATAATTTTTAAAAATTAAAAAATATTTTTTTGATATTTATTTTTGTCAAATTAGTTTATATTTTATCAAATTGACAATTTTACCCTTAAAAAATCTAATAATATCTTCAATTATGCTTATTTGGAACAAGATTCAAAATTTAAAATCAAATGTATTACAATTGAAAAGTCAGGGGTCAAAGTGACACAAGTCCCAAACTATAGAGACTATTAGTATAATTCACCCAATAATAAAATAAATGTTCTTGCTTCTTGCTTCTTGCTTCTTGAAAACACATGAAGTTTGTCTGATAAACTGAATCTTTTTATTTAAATTCTATGAAAATAACTCACTTTTTAAAAATAGCAAGAACATATTGTATTTGCATAAAAATCATATGAAAATGAGGAGTGTTTTAAAATCATTGATTTTGTTTTAGAAAATAATAAAACAAAACTGAAGAAAACCAAAACGAAACCCAACAAAACAATCAGATGGGGTCATTTTCAAAACCCATGACAGCAAAGATGATCTTTCTTTCTATTTTGCTTCTTTCATAAAAATATGATTACAAAAACTTCAACTGGCATACCACATTTTTGCAACACAATGCAAAAAATCCCACAAAACACTTTCTTGACAAGATGATCTAAAGTTTTCAGAGCAAAAACACTTTCTTAACAAAAAGAAAAAACCTATATTCCATTGCTTTGTAAAATTGAATGCAATTGAAAGAATTATCAACAGAAAAATTTCAAACAATTCTGAACCAAAACAGGCCAACACCAACGCTAAGAAGCGGGTTTGGACACTGCTTGTTTTTGATCATCGGCCGGGGAAGTCCAGTATGTTTTCACCGCAATTAAAATCTTCTCCCTCGCATGTGGACTGGTTTCACTGTCAACCATTCTGCTCTCCCATTGAAGCCCGTCTGCGAGCATTTTCACATTCGTTATAACATCAACATCATCTCGGATTATTACACTGCCTTGGGGACGTAATATTCGATCCATTTCTAGCAGAATATCTTCCATGTTACATCTGCATTAACACAAATTATATTAATAAATCAGTAGAGTATTTTTTTATTAAAAAAAATAAGATTATGATAAAATGATACTGTTAAAGATGTTAACCTGTCTTGATAGAGGCTAAACACTGAATCGGCATGAATGAAATCATAAGTTCTTGGGTAAGTAGACATGGCCTCACACCTTCAAAACAAACAAGTTTTAGAAACTATGTAACAAAAATACACAATTCATAAATTATGCATTCCGTGTCACTTTGATATTCCAAGCTTTAATTTTGACAATTTCCTCCATAAAGTGTCCAATTTGAGTCAAATATGCCAAAAATGGACAGTCTAAATTGTTAACGAAATAATAATAAAATACTCTCACTGTCTCTAAAGTAAGCGTCATGTATCTCTTTGGTCTACAAAGTTTTCAATTATGTCAATTTCATCCCAAAACATCCCTAAACGTGAAGCCTTGTAACATAATTGAAATTGTAGAGAGTGAGGTGATACATAACTTATGTTTTAGGAATCATAGGTGAATTTTATAGTTATTCGGTTAATGATTTAAAACACCAAAAAAATTTAGGAATTGAAAGTTTCTTGAGAAATGGGTGGGGAAAGCATACCAGTTTTGATAAGTTCCAATTAATCCGCGCTCGAAGACGACTCCAAGGGTATCCAACTTCGCCTCAACCGGCACAACGTTCATAACCCACACCGGATCATCAACAAGAGCAGCTGCAAATCCTCCCAAGTAAGCATTCATATCAAGCAAATTCCTATACCGCCCTTGCTCTGCTAGTTGATAGTCCAAAGCCTTGTAATGTGACATTCTCTTCTTCCACATTTCCGTATCTTTTTGAAAGACCTCCGCTGTGATTCCTTCTAGACTTTTGCTGATAATCCTTGGCGGAATTGCAGTCAATCTGTCAGGCCAGTTTGATAGCTTCCCGCCAGCAATTTCTTTAATGTCAGATGCTTCGGGCAGTGGGGTCAAACAAGTATCCATTTTTGTGTACCTGAAAATAAAGAGATTAATTCTATTTACTATTGAATCATGAGATATATAACCATTATGAAAAGTAAAATAAAAACATGTACGCACAGATGTGCCACGAAGATTGACTGAGTCAATAAGAAGAAAGATAATATTGTGTGGGATCAATGAGAGGGTATTGTGGATTGGATTGAAAATTGTAAGATTTTACTTTCATATATATATGAAGGTTAAAATACCAACAACGATGAGTCACGAGTCGTATTCAAAATACTGCGAATAATCAATGGCCCAATGATACTACTTGTTGCAATCCTATAATTCTAGTTGTGATTATGCTATACTATTGACTTTACAAAGATTTGGATCGTTTGGGCAATCATAAGATGATACGATCCTACAATATGGATTGCAATTTTGATAAACATACACGACACAAGATGAAGCATGGGAAAAGGAAGAGGAATATATAAAAAACAGAACTCCACAATTACCAAATTAAACAAAGTTTTGCGTGTTTAGGAAAAAATAAAATAAATAAAAAGATAAACTGATTTCTAAATGGTGAATAACCTTTACCAATCAACAGGTTTTGGAGTCACTAACAAAGTGCTTCAATAACATGACTTTTCAGAAGTACTTTGAAAGCATCTTCAAGTAAGATCTATCTCTTATGTTCAGTAGCCTTTACTATCCAATTGGTTTTGGTATCACTTAAAAAAAGTGTTTAAACAGTAAGAGAAATTCACCTTTTCATTTGTTAATATTTCGAGTTCATTCAAGAAATAACATTCTAATTTAAATAATTCAAAAAATATATATTTTTAAAAAATGTAAACGTAAAATGCATAAATGTTATATGGCATTACCATGCCTCGTCTGGATTCTGTGCTTGACAGAAGGGCGGTTTTTTGAAAATCTTGCGGTTGAGTTTACAATGAATGTGATTCGTGGGCTTTTGCCAAATTGCAAGGTCGCCTTCCTGTACAAATTTCTTCCAACAAAGTGATTTCGCTACGCTCTCAATCTTATCTTGTTCAGCTTTCAGATCATCACGAGTTCTATTCCAGCCTTTATAGTGATGCACCCAGTTTATTGGTGGGCCTGACAAAATCCAATACCCGCCAGGGCGTAAGACACGATCAACTTCAATCAAATAGGTACCATCTGCTCAATCAAAAAACAAAACCAAGTGGAAATTCAATTCAAAAGATCCAGTTTAGTCTTATTGAGGAAATGAAAATAAAATATAAGGAATTGTAGTAAATACGATGATAAATACTTGTTGAGTTGAGTTGAATTACCATATTGGCCCCAGGGGATGAGGCAACGCGAACAATGAGCCATGTCGAAAGCTCGGGAAGGGTAAGGTAAGCGAATGGAGGCGAGCACTCCAATCAAGGCTGGAACTCCACGTTCAAGCGCAAATTGCACTTGGGCAACATGTGTATCTCTTGGTGCAAACGACATTGCTAAGATGTTCCGATTCAGAAGGTACGCTCCCAAACTCGCAACCTGCAAAATTTGAGGAGGAAAAACAACACTTTAAACAATAGTCATGATTCTTTTAATTCAAAAAGATGTTGATTTTTCTAAATTTGTGAAGTACCAGTGTCACACTCAATATGTCCTCCCCTTACAATTTGGGGTAGGTAACTGAATTTACCAAGGCTATGCTTGGTTTATGGAGTTAGGAAGAGATTTGGAAATAAAAATGAAAAACGTGTATGAAATTTTTATTTTTTATTTTTGCATAGGTGTGTGAAATGTAGTTATTTCACTTACATTTTCTCTTTTTTCTTTTTAAATTCTTATCTAAATTCATGAACCCAACATAATGTAAAGATAAATATGCTTAAGACTCTCATTTTATTGTTAAAACGCTCTTATATTAGTTTGTAAACACAATTTTATCTTAAAAAGATTAGTACCAAGAAATAGAAAAAATGTATTTAATAAATATAAAATTCAATCGTGTCTTAAATGTTCTTGAACATGAGAATTAGATAAATCTAACACTTAAATACATATAAATTATAATAGATACATTTGAGTTATGTAACTTAAAACGGCATCAAGATATATTCATTCAAATTACCCTACTTTTTGTGTCCACTCACTCAAAAGCATTTATTAGGAGGAATCTGAGCGATTCAGAGCTTTTAACCCTCCAACTAATTGAGTAAATGTCAAACATGCCATGCTTGATGAAAAAGGAAACACCCAAAAAAAGACACCAAGTTGTTGTGCAAAATATGATTTTGCTACAATAGTATTGTCTTCTACCAAGATGTGAAGCATACTGTTTGGTGTACCAATAAATTAAAACATTATTTATTTTGTTATATTAAAAGAGTTCAGCTTCTCTCCCATCCATGTGTGGATTGGAGAATCCAATATGAGCTCTTAGATTGTGTCATGTTAACATTTTCTAAAAAATAAAGGTAGCATTTGGTTTATTTTTCAAAATTCAATTCTGTTTTTAAATTATGATTTGGATGAAACATGTTAACTAAACATACTTTTAAAATATAACTCAAAATTACTTTCAAAACTCCTCTTTTCTCTTCTTTTTTTTTTATTATTATTATTCAATCAATCAATCAATCAAAAAAAATAAAAAAATTACAAATAATTCCAAAACTATTTTTAAAACTCATAACAAACAAATTTTCTCTTTTCAAATCATGATTCAAAAACTCAAAACTTAAAGTTATACACGTATTATAATTTATGTTTGTCTAACAATTCTCAAAACATTAAAAGAAATTAAATATACATTAAAATATGGTTTCAAGTTGCAGGAAAAGAGAGTTATGGAGGACAAAAATATAGAAGTAAATGCCCTAAGAGAAGGGTGATTTGTAACCAACTCATATAAATTCACATATATTTATTGACACTAAAAAGTCAAGACCAGAAGATTGATGGTATAAAAAAACAGTACGTTAATTCTAGAAAATCTAGTTAGTAAGATATCTTAATCATGGTATTAAATAATTGAGTTGTCTGTTTCTTTAAAAACCAATAAAAAGATAAAAATACCCATTTGTATGTATTTAGTATCAATTCTATAAATAAAAAAAAGAAGGACAAATTACAAATGAGGCCAATTTTTCAAAAATAATTACGTACACATAGAAAAGTTTGACTTTAATAATTAAAGTTTATAAACTTTATCATTAATTTGAATTTTTTTTTTCAACATTCAACTAATTAATAATTTCCCTTAAAAAAAATGATTCTCAAAAAAGGCAGTGCTGACATCCTTAGAGATGGAGTAAAACAAGGGGACTTTCGACACAAATGGATAAATACTCATATTTGTCTTTATTCTGCAAAAATAAAATAAAATAAATAATATTTTGTCTCTCATTGTATAAGTTGTTTTGTAATTTGTATAACAAAAACAAAAAATGAATTTTTTTTTTATTTTATTAAAAAAGGGAGTGTGGATGACAACATCCTATAATATATGCATGTAGTAGCATGCCCTATATATAATTATATATATATATTAAAAAAAATTAACATCCTAATTGTTAATTTAAGGCATTAATTGAGAAATTATGATGAATAACCGATAAAGATCAAGATAAGGTGCACCAAGAGAAACCAAAATATTCACCCAAAATTAGGACGGGCAAAAAACACTAAAGCGTATTCCTTTGAACAATGTTACATAGAGAAAAACTGTTCAAAAAAATATATGCTACTTACTCGAAAAAAAAATAAAAAATAAAAAATTTAAAATGTATGAATCATATTTATTTTATATGTGACCCAAAATCAAGACACTTTAAAGTTAACTCTATACCATAAATTCAAATTATGGACAATTTTTTTGGTATATTGTATTTGTGTTTTTCATTTTTATCCCTACTTCCAATTCAATACAAACTTTTAAGAGTAGAAAATTTGAATGATGTTGGAAGGAAAACCAAAGAATCTATATATATATATATATTTCATATTCTTGTAGTGAAATGAAAGGAACATGTGGACTTTCATTTAACGCAATCTTCACTTTTATTACCAAACACAAGCCTAATTTCCATAACCCAATTATTTCAATTCCATAACCAACATAAAGCAATAAACTATATTATCGAATTTTTATAATTGGTGTCTGGGTATTTCCATAATTTTTTTTCTTGGATATTTTTTTGTTGATTTTACTTTGTATGGTGCTATCTGATTTTAATGAAAATTTTATCATTTTCAAAAAAAAAAAAAAAAAAAGAAAGAAAGAGAAAGAAAATTTTCGAAGCATCCAGTGGCCAGCTGGCTTCTCTCTCCAAGACATCGTTTGGCTTACGAAGAAAATTCACAGTATAAAAAGAAAATAAAAAAAACAAGAGGTCTAATATGACCAAAATATAGCATATATAATTGGGTTGAAATATTCATATTTCACGTCAAACAAGCTAATATTTTAAATAATGCCGTCTCTAAATGCTTTTTCTCGGCATCCAAACAGTAGATGAAGTCAAAAACAACACAACAGAAGAAGACTTTTTTTTAACGAATAGAGAAGAAGACTGACATGACCTCGTTACAATATTACGCACTAAACCGGTCAGTCTATCATAATTTCAAATAGCACTAAAAAAAATCACAAAACCAATCACAATTTCTCATTTGAGATGTGAGATCACAAAATGTTTATGATTAATTTTTATATTCATAAACTTTTTCAAATCAACATCATCAGTTAACATACCTATCAATATCAATATTAAAATTTAAAATTTCAATACATATGAATCGATATTTAAAACATATATAATACAGACTGATTATGTGATCAATTTCTTGTAAAAGTTTTCAAATCAACATCATCAGCTAACATATCGATCAATGCCAATATAGAAACTTTAAAATTTCAACACCTGTTATTTTAAATTTTCATTCAAATCTATATGAAAAAAAATTAGATATACATACCCCACAACCGGTATCAATGGCGGTACGAATAGAACCATCTCGGAGATTGATCAACTTCCCAATTTCATCAATATACGCATCAGCACCACGAGGGAACATGGTCCCTCCACCCGGAAACGTGAACCGGTCACCCTCGAACCGGACCCAATTCTGACCCGCCTTCTCCACCGTCAGATGCTTGTGCGGCACATTCGCGTACCACACCGAATCCCGGCTCTCCGGCCACCGGAATGGCGAGCGGTACCCAAACGGAGCCGGAACTCTGCACTTCAAAATCTCGTTCCGTTCGGGACAGTGTCTCTCTCTGTAAATCAATCGATCTCGATCGAATTTCAACGATCTCTCGACATCTTCGCAGGGTGTGTATTCGGTGAATTTGGGGTCGCAGGGAGGGCAGTGTTTTGCACGCGCCTCCGTGGGGTGGAAGAGGTGATCGGCGGAGTGGTGGGAGGCGAAATCGAGGGGTTTGGGGATTTGGGTTTTGGTGGTGGAGGTGGTGGGTGATTGGTTGTTGCAGGTGGGGACGAGGGAGGTGGTGGTGGTGGTGGTGAAGAGGCGGGTGGCGCCGCCGTGTTGCCAAGTTCCGATGAAGTAGAAGAGAGAACAGAGGAGGGTGGTCCCGACTAGGTAGTAGAGCCGGAGTTTCTTGGCCCTGAAGGTATTCGAAAAAGTCCCCATTGAAGAGAGAGAGAGAGAGAGAGAGAGAGAGGTGGGTGTTTTAGTTGATGTGTTGGGTTGGTGGTTATATGCTCTGTTCTGTCTGAGAAATCTCTGTTTGGAGAGAGAGAGAGAGAGGATGTGAATGTGAGGGTGACGAGTGAACTTTATATGGTGTTGGGGGTTTATGTGGGGGGATAAGGATTCTAATCCCATTATTGTATTTTTCTAATGATCTGTTTTTTTGTTTTTTGTTTTTGTTTTCTTGTTTTTAAGTAAAATGTATAAAATTCAATTGTTTGAATTAAAAATTAAATTAAAATAAAATAATATTAAATTATTAGATTATCAGCTTATTACCCAAAAAAAAAAAAATCGCAACAAACAATTAAATAATGATATCGGATATATAAAGATACATAAAAAATCAAATTATAGGATTATGAATTTTTTTAAAACAACTAAGGTCATGTTTGGCATTTTTCAAAAAATTCAAAAAGTCAAAAAGTCACTATCCTATTTAAGTCACATCACCTTTCTAACACATCACTTCAAACCCAACCCAAATCCAACTCATATTTCATAAAAAGTCAAAAAATACACTTGTTTAGTCTTTCCAAACTTAGCCTAAGTAATAAAATGTTTTATATAAGTTGATTTGGTTGTATTAATGGTGAATCAATGCCGATCAATATACATATACGATTTTCATTCTAATCGGTATTAAGATGTATTTATATCATAAATATTGATTAATATTTAAAAGTAAGATAAATTATAATTACTTGCTTTAAAGTTTTAAAAATATATTGAGCCTCATAAATTTTACATATTTATAATCAGTTTTTTTTGTTAAAAACAGCTTATAAACTGCTTTTTTGTGAGAGAGGAAGTGAGTTATAATCCGGGAAGTGGATTATAACCCACTTCCCAAAAGAGGCCTTATATTAGGCCTTTTTTAAGTTTACTTTGAGAATGACTTATTTTCAGGATTGTTTACAAAAAGACGTGTAAAAAAGTAAAAATGTGATGTGATGTGATAGAAATAAACCAATAAACAGCTTATTTATGATATTATCAAATGAGTTTGAAATTTCAACTAGACCAGACAAAGAAGATCTCTTACCGATAAGATTATTAAAGAGAGGTCTCTTACGTAAAAATTTATGAAAAGATTCAACTGAACCAAGAGTTAGAATAATAGGCCAAGGAATTTCATAAATTCTTAACAATAAGAGATCTTAATTGTCTAATCCAATTGAACTTTCAACTTGAAAGAAGCCAAATTCTTTTAATTTATATAACACCCAACACCTTTTTTATTTGTAATTTGTTATTCATATTACTAAAAAAAAATAATTGTTTGGTCAAGTTTTTAGAATTGATTTCTGAAAATTTTTCAAAAATTAGTTTGGTGGAGAAAATGAAAAAAAATCATTATCTTAATATGATTTTTTCCTTTTTTTGGAAAGAAAATAATTTTAGAAATTCACAAATAATTTTTTGGGTGTTTAATTTTGAAAAAAAAAAAAATAGACGCTCAATAAAATATCATATATTTCACATTGAAATGTGTATCTCACTTTTATTTATTTATATATCTACTCACTATTTATATTAAATAGGGGTGGGCGCGGGTCGATTGCGGCTACGGAACCTCCAATCCGTCATCCGTTCGCTAGATTGGCAGATTTGAAAAAATCAATCCGCATCCGTCCGCCAATCCGACGGATGTGGATTGAGCGGATTGACGGTTTGGCGGATGGATGCGAATCAGTTTAACGGTTTAAAATTTTATAAATTTTCAACATAATTCAACTTGTGTACTTCCTCAAAAAAAAAAAAAAAGTATTACAGTTAATGACTTAAAAAAATATTGGGCCTGTTTTGTTTGTATTTGTAGAGTAAATTTTGAGATAAAAAGTACGAAAACTTGTTTGGTTTGCCTTTTTTCAGAAATGGTTTTGGAAAATTATTTTGAGGAGAGAGTTTTAAAAAAAGTGATTGATTTGATGTGTATGAGAGAGAGAGTGATTTTGGAAAGAAGCAAACCAAACAAAATTTTGAGATTTGTTTTGGAAAAATTTGTTTGGTTTGATTACTCTTAAAAATTTGTTTGTAGAGAATTTTTCCTAAATTTTTTTTCCAAAAACAAACCAAACAAGCCCATTACAATCATTGAATGCCTCATCCAAAGTAAGAAAGTTTGAAACTTTAGAATATCACAATCACTGCATGCCTCATCCACATAAAGTAGTACAATCTGTGGTTCTTAAAATATAAAAACAATTCAAACCACCAAAACCATGAACTAGTATAGATTGTATGTCTCTGTATTGTTACATCTATATCTGTTTTTAAAAACAAAAACCAATCAGCATATATCATATTTTCTATTTATTATTTTTAGAGATGGATTTAAAAACCAAAAAATATAGATAAATAATACGTTTATTTTTTTCAATTTAAAAAAGATATTTAAGTTGAAAATTTTTTTTCAACAGAATATTTAAACTCTTTTTTAATTGAAAACACAAACAAAATATTTAAACAAACTAAAAACACAAAGTCTTATAAATTACTAGGTGTTCGCGGTTTGGCGATTCGGTTACGGCCAAAGGAATCTCAAATCCGTCATCCGTCTGCCAGATTGGCGGATTGGAGAAAATCAATCAGCAACCGTCCGTTCGTTATCACACATCCGTCCAAAATGCGGCGAATCAGTTCGATTCGGTCGGTTTTGACAGATCGGTATATCTGCTGCTCACCCATAATATTAAATTTCATCATTTTAATTAAAGAAGTCTGGTTCTCAGGCCTTCTTAAAACAAACAATACTCTAACAATCTAACAGTCTACAGGAACCCTTTTCCTTGTAAATTTTTGTTCAATAAATAAAAAAAGTTTTTTATTTGAATGTGTACAAACTACAAAAAGGACCTTCTATCCTCTTGTCTTCTCCTCAACTTACTTTGTTCAATCTTAAAAAAAAAAATGTAACTTACTTTGTCAAATGACCATGTGCTTTTGTTTAGGGAAAATTTAATATACACGTTTTTATAAATAATGTATCATATATATTTTTAATTATAATTAATTTTTTTATTTATTTAAAATTCATAATTTTTTATCATTATATCTCATATTGTATTAGTTATGACATTTTTTTGGATTGTATTTCTCTCGTATTGGAATCTTAACATGAGAAAACTTGAAAAAAAAATGTTATAGACTCCAAATAAATTATTAAATTTTTTATCAAACATATCACGTATAAGACCCACACACATATGATTTGTATGAATCTCATACCCATATAAAAAATTTAGTAAAAAATTTGATAATTTATTTAGAATTCCTATCATAACTCAGTCAATTATATGATAGAGCCCCTTTTTTATAGTTAGATTAGATCCAACACTCTCTTATATTTCATTTCGTACATCAAAAGTTATAATTAATCTCATAATTATGCGTGGAAATAATGGCCCCCTAAATTAATCCCATTTAGTTTACATATATGTAAGAAGCCCAGTAAATTAAGTTTGTGTATTTGTGTGGATAGAAGACGATGTTAACAGTTTTATTTTTCAAGAGATTGTACTTCTATTAAATTTAAATATGAAATTGAGAAAATTTGAAAGATCATGAGTTATATTTTAATTGTACGGGAAAGAAATATACTTTCTCGTATAATCCTGTTGACTAAGTCTACGCTCCTCCGTACGACGTCGCTTTATCACCTGAAAACACAAACGTGGGTTAGCCGGCGGGTGTGTGCCGGAAACCTCTCCGATGCCTAAGTCAGCAAATTTGACAAATAAACAAAGCTCTGTATTCAAAAAGTAAAGTTGTGTGTTACCTCCTCCAAGGTGATGTTTGTGAGCTTTTATAGGTTTCGTGTGGTACAATCCTAGTAGGACTTCTACTCTTCCATGCAGAGTCCTCCTAGGATTCGTACTCCTGAAAGATAATGCTTATCCTTCAACACCCCTCACTACTTAAACCAAGTGAGATGGTTTTTACCATGTCCGAACTACCACATGACCGAAATAATACTGGCTATGCTGAGCCAAAGAGTAGGCCAAACTATCCTTAGTTCGGTTTTTTCTTTCCTACTCCCTATCTCGGTTCTTTCATGTACAAACCATGGTATGTTTAGACCTTGTTACAGAGTAGCAAGGTTTTGACTGTTCTAACCACAATATGCCATGACCGAACAAACTCTGAGATCGGCCTAATTCCAAGTTGCTTCCGAACCGGAGTGACTTTATCTCTCTTGGGCCGAAGTAACTCTATTTCTCTTGGGCCGGAATAACTTTATCTCTTTTGGGTCGGAGTAACTTTTCGGCCTTTTTATCCAGTCCATACTTTGGGCCATAAAGTCCATCTCACAGCTCGGCCCAATTTTCACCAAAATTCCTCTCTCATTAATAATTAAAACTGCTCATTTTAATGATTTAATGATTTGTAAATTTGAAAATTTGTGATTCAAATTTATGAAAAAAAATAAAATACTAAACTTTATGTTGTACTAAATTTATTATGTCAACATCTTGTTCAATTTTGAAAATAAAAATAAAAATCAACTTGACAAAAGAGTGTAGTCCCTCAAGATCATTGGTTGTATGCAATGGTACAAATCAACATTGCATAGTCTCAACAAAAAATTAAAATTGTATTTAGATCATAAATTTAGATAAAGATTAGTGAAAGGAAAAGAAATGTGCGAGAAATAAATAAAATTAAAAAAAATCTTATATTTTGATCATATATATTTATTATAAATCTTCAACTAAATTTGTGATTTAAATACAACGTAATCAAGCATTGAATCCTAGAGTCATACCAAGTTGGAAAAAAAAGACATATCATTGAATTCTATCTACCTATCAAAGTATTACAAACTTGCAAGTCTTTCCAATTTATATCTATATAATAAAAATAATAAATTGAAAAATTCTATGGATTTGCTATATGAGGTAGGTGGTTTTCAACAATGTAGGCCAATTGGGTCCTGTCTAGATCAGTGCTATGGATAGTGTTTCTATTTCCAGATCATACTATATTTATCAATAAATAATTAATAAAATTTTATAAAAGAAACAGCCAACTTTTTTCTTTTTTT